CGCTTTTCTTTCCTGCAGCTCCGTATCTCGTGAGCATTTCGAGATTCAAAGCCGATCACATCGCAAGAGTTGCCACCTTTTAAGTTCGAGTCACATGGTCGGAACTGCAGGCAAAACCAATCGTTTACGGATGAGAACTCTGCTTGCGAAGAGAAAAGAACTGCTTCACCCGCTGGACCTGACAACAGTTAGACAGTTTTTCTTGGCCAGCAACATTCAGCAGAAAGAGTAGTTCTTACCACAATCTGTACTTTTGTTATCAAAATTATCAGTACTACTGTTATTAGGAATACTATGGTTACTTTTATTACTACCATCATCCGCAAGGCACATTAGCTCTGATGCGCACCTAGGGTGCCTTGAGGATTTCGTGGGAAGGTGGCGGAGGATCCACCTCGAAAGAGGGTTTTAAGAATGTTTAGGATTTGGGGTTTTGGGTTCAGGGTGGAAGCCAGAAACCGCAACATGACGCTGCAAGCCTGCGAAAGTCAGAGATGACACATGTCACAGAGGATTGCGGGGCTTAATATCTAACATCTCAATGATCGAAGGAAATGAGGGTTTGCGGTCCTGTCACATTACTACTAATGGTCGTATCATTAGTATTACTAGTAAGAATAACAGTAGTCATCGTAATAGGACTACCGGTGATACTCATAAGCGAAATATTAACTCGGCCCGACACCCCAACTGGGTGTTTCTGCAAACCATTCCTATCATTCCGACTGAGGCCCCGTATGGCCTCCATACAGGCGTATAGGCGGGTCCTGAGGGGCACCCCGATTTGGCAAAACTCTCAAATCCTAAGCCCAAAATACCCGAAAATAAGGCCAATTCTAATGCACCTACCTTGAACTTGAACCCTAACGGTTGTCGAAGCCAATCTAGCTCAAATCCGCTTTTGGAAGTGCCAGCGTCAGTCTTCGAACGCGTTCTTGCGATGTACGTCCTCATGAGGATCGTGGCAATGGCTGTGTGTGTGACTGGGGGCATGTTGATTGAGTTGAGGGTGTACCTTGAGGGACCCTGGAGTAAGGTAATGTATTCTATCCCCCTAAAAAGCTATTATGACCCAACTGTAGCTCATCATGAGAAGGTTCCCTACGTTGTGCGACTGAGGTATGTTGAATCGATGGTGTACCTAGACCCCTATTATGCGGGTCTACCCTATTCTGGGTACCCAGAGGGTTTTGGCTAGGGTTTTAGGCTAAGGGCAGAGTCTGGCGCCTCCCATAAGGCGCGAATGCTGGCGCTGTTTAGCTTTAGAGCTTGCATCTGGCAAGGTGAGTGCGATTCGTCCAGAAGTACACAGCCGTCATGAACAAGCTTTCCAGGAAGTGGGGCATAAGATGGAAGAGGCCCACGAGAGTAAGCACGACCTCGCCGGCGGAAGGTGCCTCAGCAAGGTAGATACCAGGACCCTCCTTGTACCCTTGGGGATATATGGTCCCCAAGAGTGGGTACTTAGGCCCTAATAGAGGGTAGGAGGAGGGTCTAGGTAGTGACTTTTTGATTGTTGTCTGGAGTGAAGCCAGTTAAGCCCTACACCCTGATGTCAAGCCAAGTTCGTAAGTCTCACTTGTATATCTCACCAGTTGAGTACAACCCTTTTCCGACCGCATGTGGTCGTTGATAGTTGCGCCGGGGATCTCATGTACGAAGCTTAGACCCTGAGCATTTTTCGTTCCCCCCTCGGAATGCAAACGGGTAAGGTGCTGTGCGTGCGACCTCACTTTTCCAGGCGGGAGCGTGTGCGTCATGATCTACATGTCTACTGCTAGTAGCTGAGGTTCTCCAGATAGAATCGCCAGAGGCATTCAAACACAAGATTCTTCTCAGCGCAGTTAGCGTCAGTTCCAGTTCCAACCTTCCTCAGTTTTCCTTCGCCGGGTTAAATGGGCGCCAAACAGTAGTGGCCTTCCCCTAAATAGCCTTTAAGAAAGTCCAGATGTATCCAAGTAGACCCTGAGCACCAAAGGGTAGTAAACCTTCGAGTTCTGAAGTCTCTGGACGCTGCGCCCGCGACCTGCACATCATCCTTATGACGAACCTATACTTCCAGGTCACTTTCGGGTGTGGGGCGCGTAGGGTTCTGGGCAGGGTGCAGATTTTTTTTGGGGAGGGAAGGGGCTTCAAGTTTCGGGCGTAGCTTAAAAGGAAACCTTCCAGAGAGGGAGCAACTGACCGCTCGTAGTTGTTATCACTGCAGTTTCCATGGATGAGCGCAGGGATCCTTGCGGTAATTCTGATTTGTTGTTCCGTTGCTTACATATTCCCGGTTCGAAAGAAGAAATGCCGTTAGTAACCTCTGCAAGTAATACCTGGACCCTGGCATCCTTCCCGGTAGGGTCTCTGCATTTTTGTAGATTATATCTCAAAAAAGTTAGGCCATCCGTGGTCCAAGTATTCACTGAGCCTGACATGTGGGTCCCCAAATTAGGGTCCCGTGTTGGTACCCCCAAAATTTAGTGCCACAACATAATCTATAACCGAAAGGGGCCTCTGATTTTGAACACAACCCATGTGCAGGGGGCAGCTGCAAAAAGGGCACCTATGGATATGCTAAGCGGCAGACTGCGACCCCTGGACACCATTTGAGCCACAACCTAAATTCCTTAGAGGGGGTTATATAAGGGATCAGAGAGGCGACTATTACAGGGGTTGTTAAGGGGGATTCGAGGAGTTTAGACTATAGCGCATTTGGGGGGTTTCTCCAGACGCGTGGTACGTAGGAAGTCTCAAGATATATTGAGGATCATGGGGGAGGAATAATGCGGGGCGTTGTGTAGGGATTGTACGGGGATTATTTTGAGGAACAGCTGTTTTTCAGTACTTGTAGGGACAATGGCATTTGGTAATACACAAGCCCAGCTGTTGTACTGTAATCGTTTGCAAGCCGGTTCCCCAAACCAATAGTAATCCTAGCATCAAAGTAGGGTGGTAGGACGCTTCGCTGCAAATATCCCACATGTATGATTTCAATGCCGTGCAGGGAAGAGAATGCTGGTTGCGGTCGGTGTAGATGCTGTGAAGCTGCCTTGCACATGTGTATGGATGTAGACTTTTGGGGTGTTTGAGTTCAGGGATTTCCCGACTAGCGCTGTGATCCTCGTTGCACAGAGGACATGTTCATGGGCTTGCAGCTATTATGACATCAGGGGTCTCCCTCACCTACATAAGGCTATAGGAACTCAACCAGGACCGAAAGCAGCTCGCTGCGTGTGACTATGCGAATGCATTGCCTCTAGCTTGAACACTCAAGCTACTACTCTTAAGCCTCAACTTTTCTAACTAGCACTGCACCCTTCAGCTACAACCAGAGCCAAAACCCTACAAGCCCAACACCTTAGATCCTCCATTCCTGCGGGCTGAACTGGAAACAACTTGTTGTGTTGTGGTGTTGCACAAGCTTGGCTAAGGGCTCACGCTGCAGGATGAGCTTGTGTACGCCCGCTTTCAGAAACTCTATTTGTATGTCCCTTAGGATAACTTTGGTTGCGGTAGCTCAAATTTGAAGATGCCTTTGCGACCCCCATGGGCCCCCAAGATTCACGACCAAGAGTCCAAGCTCCAGAGTCTAGGGTTGAGGGTTTAGGGGGCTCATGTGAGCCCTAAATCCTTCACTTGTAGCATGCACAGAGGCCGCCTGAAACGAAGGACCAGCTTCCCGTAGGGCGAGTATGGATAAAGGTCTGCTTACTTTCAACAATTCAGGACCCACACCGTAGCTCCAAACCCAAAACCCTACATGTACCCTGCCTCCCAATATAGACCCCAAAGGACTGTAATCCTCATTTTAGGAACTCCCCAAAAGGATTTTCGATTTTTGAAACCACCATATCTCCCTTCAAACCAGGTTGTGTAGGCTGCAGACAAATCCTAGCGCCAAGGGACCAAACATGTGACGCGCTTTGCCGTTTTAAGCCGCTGTTGAGGTGCCAGCGTGACTCGGGGTTTGTCGTTGATAGGGTTTGGGTTGTAGGCTAGTCGTTTGTGCAGAAAAGCATTGCCCCACGAAGAAGCATCTCCCCCCAAGTAGCTGCCAGTAGATCACAGCTCTGAGGAAGCTGCATGAGGAATGCAATGTAGCAGCCTACATGAGTTAGAGAAGTAGCTCCTTATAACCCTCATACGACCCTAATGTACCATACCCCCCCAAACCCCAGTAGAAGATTTTGGTATGATCATGCAGGGCTTCAGATTTAGGAACATCAAGAAGGTTGCGTTCACACAGACGGCTTGAGGGTTGGCCTCTCAACGTTGCTTGCGGCTTTTCCTTCTGCAACATCCTTTGCTTTTCCGCTTCATGAGATCTTCCAGGCCTGACATAGAAGAAGTTGTTCCCTTCGGGTTGAGGGATTAGGCCTAATGATTGGTTCTCAAGATAAATTCCGAGTTTGTTCTTCAGGGATTGCATGGAAAGATCCCTGCATAAAGTTGCTACCCCTACCCAAGGAAAGGTTCTGCGAGGATATCCCGTCGTCATTTCTCATTCCGTACTAAGACTTCAGGATCGCAATCGACGCTGTTGATAGCCTTTCCACCACCAAGCCCATGACCCTTGGGTCTCTATAGGCCTAGCCCCAAACGTCCCTAAACCCTAAGCCGCCTAAAACCCTGATGCCCCTAAACAGCCCTCAACTCTTTTGTAGGGGAATCCTGGACGTCGAGGTGCTGGGATTCTGTTCCCGACAAGGACTGCAGTGAGATGGGCAAGTAGGCTTCTGGCGTGAGAGCCCAGTACCAACAGCGTATGCTGCCTGAAAAAAGAGACGTTTCAACGCGCTTGGAGCATTCTGAACGATTGTTTTTTACTAGATTTGCATGTCTCAGATTAAACGATTCCGGGGCTCTACTTCTCCGGATTGCCCCGAGTATCCCCCCACTGGGTCCGCAGGCCAGCCCGAGTATCCCCCAGCCGGCCCGAGCCTTCTTGAGAAATCGAAAGATGCCCTAGGTACTCTGGGTTTATCGTTTTAGATTTTCTCCACATCGTCGATTCATCGCGGAATAAAATCTGCCAGAGTTTTGCCGGTAGATTCATTTTCTCGATTTGGCAAAGGGAATCCTTTTGATAAAAGCCTCTCCGCGTTTTCATCCGTGAGCCATTTGAACGCTTGCGGCGTGTAGGCTGCCAATGCCCACATGCGTCCCTCATGCGGCTCGACTTGATGAAAGCGACGAGCGTCAAAAGTGATTGGTTTGTCATGGATGTCATGCCAGGATCCGATAAGAGCTTGGATTTTGCTTTTCATTTGCACTTCCGCCGGAGCATCTCCGTTTTCATTTTCAACCCACACTCGGCCGCCGGTGAATGAACCCAGAGTGATCGCGTGGTTGGGGTGTCCTTTCAAATTCAGAAGGTCTCGATGAAGGCCCATTTTGGGATTGCAGAGAATCGCGATGGAAGTCCAGGTCTTGCCCGGAAATCTGGATCTTAAGAAATGATTGACGGCTCTGCAGGCGCTTTCATCATTCGAGGCTCGCGAGATGCCCAAAATGCCTCCGTGAGCGTAGAATCCCAGAGTGCAGTACTTTTCATAGGCTCCGGAACCCACGGCTCTTGTACGTCCCTTGTGCTTCCATTTTGTCGACCATTCATCAAGCAGAAGCACCAGGTTCGCTTCGGTCGGTTCCGCATGAACGGCAGCGGCCAGCAGCTCCGCGCTCATTTTGGGTTCTTTATTATGCTATGCAGCCGGCTTCATTCTGCCGACGAAAAAAAATGACCGGCGCTTGAGGCCGGCTGAATTTATCAAATTAATTCTGGGGACTTCAGGGCTGTCTCACAACAAAATCGTCGGAAGATCTCCAATAAGGCTGTCAGCAATCTTCCTTCTGTGCCTTAGAACTGCGGGCTTACAAGGGACACTCTGGGGGAGAGGCATCCTGTAGCTTAATGTCGCGGGCTTCCATGAGAAGGCCGCACATTTGCCCCATGATCCACAGCTGCCGCACCTCGATGGCGACCAGTGCCTTGCGACCTCTGAGCTCGGCAGGCGGGCTGGCCAGTTTGTTGCCGTCGGCGTCCCAAAATCGGACCTTAGTCATGTTGGCTTTCAGCTTCAGCCGCCGCGCGTCTGCTTGACGCAGGACTGCAGCTGCGCCTGCAGCTTCTTGTCGGCGACCAGACTTGTGGCCTGCTTTTCCAGCCGCTCCACGGTCTTTTCCATCTCGGCCGTGAGCTCGAGCACCAAGCTAACTCGCTCGGACTCGCCCTTGCCGAAGGAGGAGGGCTCGTAGAGGATCTCGGCCCATTGGGTAGTGTTCCAGCGCAGAGGAGGCTCGGCCGGCAGGAATTTGCCGCCCTTCTGGTTTGTGAGCGCTTCGCCAAGTCGGAGATCCATTTTATGGAAAAGGAGGCTTCCAAGTTTTCGGCGGTCGTCTCTTTTCTTATACCGACAACAAAAAAGATGTCCGACCATTTGAACTGGAGGCAGGCGTTGCTCTGCAACCTGGGTTTCGCCTGCTATTGCGCAGGTTTCGTTGCTCTGGTGTGGCTCGCCCTTGACCCCGTGATGGAAAAAGAAGATCTTGCCGTTGCCCATGCCGCGACGCCTGCTGGAGCTGTTCTCGGGGACTGGGTCGATGGGCAGAGCCTTCGAGGAGCTGGGGTGGGAAGTCATTTCGCTTGACGTGGACTCCAAGGCCAGTCCAACGATCTGCGCCGACATCTGCAGCTGGGAGCCGCTGCCCAAGT